CAGTGGTGAGAATCTTTGTCTTCTTGACATTGAGCCTCAATCCATACTGAAGGCTGCAGTCCTTGACCCTCTGCAGCAGGTGCTTCAGGTCCTCTTCAAAGCGAGTTAGCGTTGTGTTGTGTTCCATTATGTGAATATAACACAGCTTCTCTATCCATTCATTTCTTGATGGGCACTTGGGTTGCTTCCATTTCTTTGCTATGGTGAACAATGGAGCAATAAACATGGGTGTGCATAAGGCTGTAAATCTTAACAGGAGCAGATGGCTTCGTTTTTTTTCTAAGGAACAGCAGCTGGTTTTGAACTGCTGAGTTCTTTTTAGCAGCAGAGTGTTTTACTGTATACACTGCCAGGATTCCTTGTCAGAATCTCTAGGTGTCCTTAAGATCTGCTTCACAGAATTTTTTGTTTTCCAGTGCAGAATGTAGTCAAAGTTCTTGTCTTGTACTTAGTCACTGAGGATTATTTTCTCCCCAATAACATAAGAATTAATTGTAATTAAAAAAACTTACCTTTTGTTGTTGTTGTGTTATGTGCCATTGAGTCGCTTGCGACTCATAGTGACCCTGTGTACCACAGCCCTAAACCTTGCTCTATCCCTTGCCAATCTTATTGTCTCCAACATGCCTATTCCCATTACCCCAATGATGCAATCAATCCATCTCATCAAGGGTTTTCCTCTTCTGCACTGTTCCTCCACCCTCCCCATATAATAACAATAATTACCTTCATTTATTTAATAATTACCTTTATTTATGTAATGATAATAATCATTATTATCACTAATTTTTTCTAATAAAAGATATTATATTCAAATAGATGTGACTTTTTAAAGATGTGTAATGGGACAAAGTTAAGGCTTGACCCCACATATCTCTGATCGCAAGTGTGTTGTCCTTGTCTTTGTCAGACTGGCTGTCCTAGGATGCTATTAATATGAACTTTGAAATATTTCTTCTAAAAGATAAAATTTTTTTTTTCATGTGAACTTTATTAAAGATTTATGTAGCCTAAGGATGGTTTTAATTAACTTTTTGAGGTCTCATTTAGCTCTGAGATTCTGTATCCATTGAATTATTAAAAAAACGTGCTTTAAGTTCTCCCCCTATACATCCATCCATCTATCCATGTGTATTTCTCTATCTTTCTATTCCTCTGTTTTATTGTGATAGAACACATATGATATAGTTTACACATTTGTAGTGTACAATGTTGTGGTTTTCAGTATATTCAGAGTTATGCAAGCCATCGCCATGATCAGTTTCCTACCCCTGTTTTTGTTAGATGCTGTTAAGTTGATGATCCACTCATTGTGACCCAACATGACAGTAGAATTAACTGCCTTTTAGGAATTTTTAGGCTGTAGGGTCGCTATGAGTCGTCTACGACTTGACGGCATTAAACAACAACAACACAACAGTCCTGAAGTGAGCAGATTACCAGATTTTTCTTCTAAAGAGCAGCTGGGTGAGTTCAAACTACCAACTTTTCGGTTAGCAGCTGAGTGCTTCATCTGTTATACCCATAGGGCTCTTTTTTCTGAGCCTTAGGTAAAAGAACAGTTGTTTCTCATTCAAGTACTAACCAGGCCCAACCCTGCTTAGCTTCCACCCTGCTTAGCTTCCAAGATCAGACAGGAGCAGATGCGTTCAGGGTGGTATGGCCATAGACAAGAGTGATGCTGTGCTGTTCATCTCTAGTTGTGCATACTGTGGACAGTTCAGATAAATTCTGTAATCCTTTTGCATCAGATTTCTTTAATAGAGTTTTTCAAAGTTCATCTATTTTTAAAATTTCATTGTTTTCTACTAGTTTATTTATAAAATTTGAATACAAATTTGAACAAATTTTCAATTTACATCACTACCCACCCATTAAAATTGTACAACCCAATCATTTATTACCCCCTCCGCCTGCACATCCACATCCCTCTGCTTTCAGCCTCTCCCACTCCTCCTGTATCCTTATACTCATTCTACAATAATGATTTTTATACAATATTTATCCTTGTGGGACAGAGTTAGTTCACTCAGCATAATGCTCTCCAGTTCCTCCCAAGGTACGTAATAATTTACAGAATCATTGCTCCTGAGAGCTTCATAGTATTCCACTAAGTGAATGTACGTTGAATGTATGTACCATCATTTCTCAGTCCATTTGTTTGTGTTTGGATATTTGGGCTGTTTCCATGTTCTTGTGATGGTGAATAATGTTGATATGAACATTGGTGTACAAATCTCAATTTGTGAAAGTTCATATATTATTGCATTGATTAATGTCTATTATAACATTGATTAATATCTCATTCCCTCACTCTTTGATTGTTTTATTAAGTGGGATCTTATTATTTTTGTGACTGTCCTTTTCATAATGTTTTCAAATTTCATTCATATTTTAGCATTATCAGGCTTCCTTTCTGTCATTGAATAAAATTTCTTTGTATGGATATATTTTTTTATCAATCATCAGTTGATGAACTTGGATTATTTCCACTTTTTGGCTGTTGGAGATAATGCTGCTGTGAACATTTGTTTACAAGTTTTTGTAAGGAATATGATTTCATTTCTCTTGGGTATGTCCTAGGAGTAAAATTACTGAGTCATATAACTCGTCTATGTTTAGTTGTACGGCTGTTTTCCAGAGTGATGACATCATTATGTTTTTCTAAGCAGTGTTTGAGGGTTTTGATTTCTCCACATCCTCACCAATTCTTACCTTTTTTATTATAGTCATTTTAGTGAGTGTAAAAGAACCCTGGTAGTGTAGTGGTTGAAGCTCAGCTGCTGACCAATTGGTCAGCAGTTCAAACTCAGTAACCACTCAGTGGGAGAAAGACAAGGCATTTTGTTTCCATACGTTATCTAGACTCGGAAACCCTGTGAGCATGCAGTTTTGCTCTGTCCTGCAGGGTTATTGTGAGCTGAAGTTGACCCATTGGCACTGGGTTTGGTTTTTTCTTTGCCATAAGAACATAAATTTTGTCTAAGTCTTACTGTTGTTTATCCACCACCTAGAAAAGTGCCAATAGTGTATTACATTTGAATATATTTTAATGAATGAAAGAAATGTTTGTTGTTATTCTGTGCCATCAAGTGGCTTGCAACTCATAGTGACCCTATGCACAACAGCCTTAAACACTGCTCTGTCCTGTGCCACTCTTAATTAAGTCTCTGACATTCCTACCCTCGTTACTCCAGTGACTGAATCCATCCATCTCATGGAGGGTCTTCCTCTCCTGCACTGTCCTTCCCCCCTCCAAAGCACAAAGTCCTTTTCCAAGGACTGGTCCCTCCTTGCCTCCAAGGAGCAGTCTGGTTTCACCCCTACTAAGATGAATTTGTTCTCCTAGCAGTCCATGGTATATTCAGTACTTTTCTGTAGCACCACAGCTCAAAGGCATCAATTCTCCTGGCATCTCTAGCCATTGTCCAGCTTTTTGATTCATGGCAAATAATTTCTAAGACTATGGCCTGGATCAGGCACACCTTAGTCTCCAGACTGACATTGTTGCTCTTCAGTACTTTGGAAAGATCCTAGGCAGCAGACTTTCCCAGTGCAAGCTGTCTTTTAATTTCTTGGCTGCTGGTACCAAGAGTATTTTTTGTGAATTGTTGTTGATTGCCGTCAAGTTGAAGTCACCTCATCGCGATCCAATGAACAAAAGATGTAATGCCTTTCCATACCTATTGTTGTTTCTCCAAGTTCATAGAGTTTCCGGAGGCATGTGGTTTAAGAAGTAGATGCCACTCCTGCTTCCAAACCTGTTTTACAACTGGGAACTCCACGAAACACTGTCCACAATGGGAAACCATTCTGGTATTTGATATTCTTATGGCGCAGGGTCCAGCATCACAGCAAACCCAGGTTACTTCATGCAGCACATTGACAGAGTGATGTGCAATGTGAAAGAGTATTCCTCCAGATATAATAGCACTAGTCTCATTTAGCAGTGGTTAAGTGTCGTCGAGTTGAATATGACTCATAGTAAGCTTTGCACAAAAGACCTGAACTCTTGTTATATAATTAACATTATTTCTGTACATTGATAAGAGAGTTTGTAGAGTTTCCAGAAGCATCTAGTTTAGAAAGTGGATGTTACGCCTGCTTCCGAACATGATCAATCTGGAAGCGCATCCAAACATTGTACATAATGGGTCACCATTATGATATTTGACATGACTATGGAGGAGAATGGGAATCCCAGAACATTTAATTGTGCTAATGCGAAACCTATACTTGGACCAAGAGGCAGTAGTCAGAACAGAGCAGGGTAACACTGCATGGTTCAAAATTGGGAAGGGTGTACGCCAGGGATGCATCCTTTTTCAACATATATGCAGAGCAGATTATCCGAGAGGCTGGGCTCTATGAGGAGAATTGTGGCATCAGGATTGGTGGAAGATCTATTAACAATCTGCGTTATGCAGATGACACAACCCTGCTTGCTGAAACTGAGGAGGACCTCATGCACTTGCTGCGAAGGGTCAAGGACTGCAGCCTTCAGTATGGACTGAGACTCAATGTCAAGAGGACAAAGATTCTCGCTACTGGACCAATTGGCAGCGTCAGGATGGATGACGAAGAGATTGAGAGTGTTCACAGCTTCAGTTTGCTTGGCTCCACAATCAACACTCTTGGTACCAGCAGTCAGGAAATCAAAAAGCGTATCGCGATGGGAAAGTCTGCTGTTAGGGACCTCTCTAAGGTACTCAGGAGCAACAGTGTCTCTCTGGAGACTAAGGTGCACCTGATACAGGCCATGGTATTTGCAATCGCTTGTTATGCATCAGAGAGTTGGACAATGACTAGGGAGGACAGAAGGAGAGTGGATGCTTTTGAGCTGTGGTGCTGGAGAAGGGTACTGAATGTACCATGGACTGCCAGGAAAACAAACAGTTAATCTTGGAGAGAATTAAACCAAGCTACTCCTTGGAGGCAAAGATTCTGGGGCTTCGTCTGACATACTTTGGACATGTTGCCAGGAGGGACGGGTCCTTGGAGAGGGACATCATGCTTCGGAGGGTGGAGGGACAGCACAGGAGGGGAAGACCCTCTATGAGATGGATTGATTTGGTGACTGGGGTAATCGGGATGGGTGTGTCAGAGGCAGTGTGGTTGGCGCAGGATAGAGCAGGGTTTAGAGCTGTTGTGCATAGGGTTGCTATGAGTCGGAAACGACTCGACGGCACATAATAACAGCAGCAACACGGAACAGTGTTCAGCATCACAGCAACTCCAAGTTGTTCAGTACAGCAAATAGACAAATGATTGTTATGTCTTTTAAAGAGTATTCATTCTAAAATTATCAAATTTGGTCCTGAGGCCCTACAGGATTTTAAAGCCACATCCTTGAGTAGGCCTCCATTCTTAGTCTAAGATTCAAGGACCACCCACTTTTAAGGGGGGAGAAACAGTACACACAACAAACATGACCCCAGAAACTTCCCTTATGTGACTGCCTTCAAGATGAGACTGCCATCAAGGCAAGACTGCCATAGAGATGCTAGCTAGCCATCCAACTCCTAGAGTGCAGGGAGACTCCCTGGCCCCAGATACCATTTTTTTCTTCTGAATCTCCTAAAATATTTTATTACTTGAAGAAAGTAGTGCTTTTTTTATAGATGTTGTTGTTGTTTTTATGAACCGTCAAGTTGCTTGCGACTTATAGCGACCCTGTGTACAACAGCCCTAAACCCTTCTCTATCCTGTGCCTGTCTCATTGCTTCTGACATACCCATCCCGATTACCCCAGTCACTGAATCAATCCACCTCATAGAGGGTCTCCCCCTCCTGTGCAGTCTATTTGTTTTCTTGGCAGTCCATAGTACATTCAATACTCTTCTCCAGCACCACAGCTTAAAGGCATCAATTCTCCTTCTATCCTCCCTAGTCATTGTCCAACTCTCTGATGCATAACAAGTAATTGCGAAGACCATAGCCTGTATCAGATGCACCTTAGTCTCCAGAGTGACACCATTGCTCTTCTGTATCCTGGAGAGGTCCCAAACAGCAGACTTTCCCATCGCAATACGTTTTTTGATTTCCTGGATCCTGGTGCCAAGAGTGTTGACCGTGGAGCCAAGCAAACTAAAGTTGTTAACAATCTCAATCTCTTCACCATCCGTCCTGATGCTGCCAATTGGTCGGTCCAGTGGTGAGAATCTTTGTCTTCTTGATATTGAGCCTCTATCCATACTGAAGGCTGCAGTCCTTGACCCTCTGCAGCAAGCGTTTTAGGTCCTCCTCAGTTTCAGCAAGCAGGGTTGTATCATCTGCATAACGCAGATTGTTAATAGATCTTCCACCAATTCTAACGCCACACTTCTCCTCATAGAGCCCAGCCTCTCGGATAATCTGCTCTGCATACAGGTTGAAAAGGTATGGAGACAGGACACATCCCTGGCATACACCTTTTTGAACCATGCAGTGTTTCTCTGCTATGTTCTGACAACTGCCTCTTGGTCCAAGTATAGGTTTCACATTAGCACGATCAAGTGTTCTGGGGATTCCCATTCTTCTCAGAGTCAGCCATGGTTTGTTATGATCCACACAGTCAAATGCCTTTGTATAGTCAATGAAACACATATACACATTCTTCTGGTATTCCCTGATTTCAGCTAAGATCCATCTAACATCAGCTACAATATCCTAGTACGACAACCCCTTCTAAACCCAGCCTGGACTTCTGGCAGTTCTTTCCTGATGTACTGTTTCAGTCGTTTTTGGATAATCTTCAGTAGAATCTTGCTTGCATGTGAAGTCAATGATATTGTTCTATAGTTTCCACACTCTGTTGGGTCTCCCATCTTTGGAATGAGACCAAATATAGATCTCTTCCAGTCAGTTGGCCAAGTGGTTGTTCTCCAGATTTCTTGGTACAACTTGGTGAGCATGTGCAGGGCAGTATCTGTTAGTTGAAATATGTCAATTGATATACCATCTCTTCCTGGGGCCTTGTTTTTGCTGTTTCCTTCAAAGTAGCTTGAACTTCTTCCTTCATCACCATAGGCTCTTGCTCATATGTTATTTCATTAAATTCTTCTGTGTCTGCCAATTCCTTTCGATACAGTGACTCAGTATATTCTTTCCATCTTCTTTTAATACTTCCTGGATCCCTTAATATTCTTTCTAAAGCATACTTGATTATAGCAACTCGAGGTTTGAATTTGTTCTTCAGATAAGATAATAAAAATTGGGGAATATATGTATTACCAGCATAGAAGTGCTATATGACAGAAATTTAAAATTATTTTCTAAAAAGAACTAATTAATTTCTTTAACCTAGAAGTGAATTTTTTTTGTTTTTTTAAATTATTATTAAATTTTATTAGTTTTAATGAACATTTACAGAGATTTTGGGTTCTCATTTATTCATTGTTGCACTGTAGAAGTGAAGGTTATATGAGAACGCTTAAGGATGCTATAAGAACTTAATGTCCAAACATTGTTACTTTCTCTGACTCAGTTATATATATTTTCTGTTTTAGCCACTTTGGAGATTTGTTAATGATACGCAAGACAAAAGAATGTTAGTTTACAGATCTGATGATATTAAGAATGTTTCACGTTTGCAGTCCCCAAAAGTTTGTGGCTATTTAAAAGGAAATAATGAAGAGTTACTTCCAAAAGGGCTAGTAGAGAAAGAGCCACCTGAAGGTAAGATTTAAAAAAAATATTTTAAAAAAAATTTCAAATCAAAATAAGCATTACAATTATTTTCGATAGAGGTTGTTATTGATACATTAAAATAATATTGTTATCCACTAACAATAGCCTTTACTTAAAGATATTTTGGTCCAGGAATTATTTTGTGATTTTTTTTTTTTTAATTTTTGTAATTATTTTCTAACAGGAGAAAATAATGGAAAAAAATAATTAACCTTAAAAAACCATTTGGCAAAAGGGAAATAGAATGATTTTAGGGGAAATATTTTTTATTTGAAGATTTTTCTACATTACAGTATAATGTTGTTAAAAAACGTTCCTTAGAGTTTATTTACACTGCCTTACTTAGTGACATCACTAAGTTCTAAAGGCTAAGGTAATTATTTGAAAAATCACCTTATGTCAGAGTATGGGATGATGATAGCAAATGGAAGATGACTACATCATTACAAACTGCCATGTAAAGTTATTATGTAACTGCGAAGCCATTGAGAGTCATGGTCTAGCTTAGTTGATACATCACTTTGACAGTCATTACCATGTGGTAAGGTACAAAATAGTACATTTTTCACATTTGTTGTAAATATGGAAAATTAGATAATGAAGTAGTCCACAAGTGAGGAAAAGGTGTAGTTGGTAGCAGAATGGATCTGTACTGCTTAGAATACAAAAATCAGACCACACTGTGGAGGCCAATGGTAGCTCCTGGCGACCCTCCATTGACTTTCTGAGGCTATAAATCCTCACAGAAGGGACTCATTCATATTTTTCCCTCAAAACAGTTGGTGAATTTGAACTGCTGACCTGATTAGCAATCCTATATGTAACAGCACTGGAGTTCTTTACTATTTAGGATAGAATACAGCCATATTGTTGAAATTGTTACCAATATTATTAGTGAGATAAATATTGGTATTAGGGGGACCTTTGCTGATATTGGTGGGATCTGTTTAGGGACGTATGCTACTGGGACAAGTATATGTTGGGTCACTTTAAAAAAGACACCTTACAGAGATATTATTTTTTTTTAAAGGGTGTAGAAACTATTACTTGCATGTTAGTGTATGAAAGAATCCTGTAAAGAATTTGATTCTTTGACAAGAAAATTGTCTAATTAGCAGAAAAGTTTTTAATGATTGTCTAGATATTTTTTACTATTACTTTAGTTATTTGTAGACAGCCTCTAGAAAAAAAAAATGAAAGCTTCCTTGCCTATAGGTGATTGTTTTACTCTGTTAAATAGTTTTTCCTATTTTCAAAATTAAGGAGAAAATTTCCATTTTTGTTTTGAATTCTGAAATTTTAAGGCTTTGTATTACTTACCCTTTAAATTAATTTTTACCCCCAAGATACCTTTAGGGATACTAAGCTTACATCATGTTTATTTCAAACATATATTAGCTTTAAAGTGTTACTATAAAAAATTCCTTGTTTTGGTGAATTTTGATTTAATAGTGCATACAAATTCATATTAGAGCTTGTCCATCGGGTGAAGAGAAGAGCTGATCCAAATCCTCTGAAGAACACGTGCAAATTACTGGTGGTAGCTGATCATCGCTTTTACAAATACATGGGCAGAGGGGAAGAGAGTACAACTACAAACTATTTGGTAAGTATTAATGTGCTATAAGTAATTAAATGGCAAAGTCATAGAGGATACATTTTAAAATTTCATGAAACTAGATTGATTTTGTTGTTGTTAGGTGCTGCCAAGTCGAGTGCAATGCATAGCGACCCTATGAACAAAAGAGCTGAACCCTGTCCTATCCTATGTCATCTGCACACTTCCTGATACCCTAGAGTCCATTGCGTCAGTCACTCTGTCGGTCCACTTGGTTGAGGGTTTTCCTCTTCTTTGCTGACACTCTGTCTTTCCAAGTTTAATGTTCCTCTCCCAGGAATATCCTATCCTTGCAGTATGCCTGAAGTATGTGAGGTGAACCTTTATCTTCTTTGTCTCCAGAGAAAGCTTCACTTTATTTACAAGATTTGCTTTAGATACTGTTATTTTTCTTTTTTTATATTTGAAGGCTTTCCCCTGTGGCTTTTGTATTAATTACTCTGTTGAAATGCATGTTTTGAATTTATGGAAGTCTTTTACCTTTGAAATAGTGTGTTGTGTGTGTGGTTTTTTTTTGTGTGTGTGTGTGTGTGTATTAGAATTTTAATGCATATTAGGCTTGGGACGGTTCATAGCGTAGATCTCCCTTTATACTGCTGAATTCTTTAAAAAGATCTCTGCTGTTGTGGCAGTGATCTGATTGGTTTACATGCATGTTGTTTCACATATATTCCCCTGAGGCAAAACAAAAAAGAAATTGTATGAGTTTGTTATATTTTCTGAGAGAAAAATCAGTTTTGTTTATGACATGTAAAAGAGCTAATTGGAATATAAATGAAATAGATTGCTTATAAAGATTAAAGGAATGTTGACAGTAGGGTTTTTAAGCATTAGATATTGTAATTTTTTAAAGTCAATCATGTTATATTTCATAACTCCATATCTACTCCCATTATTCCACATGACCTCATTCATCATAACTCAGCAGTGACCAAACTCTTGTTTGAGGGAGTGGAAAAAGAATACAGCTATTCATGAACTGAGAGCCCAATGCAGTAAAGATGCCTTACTGATTGCCTAACTTTTACCATTCTCTCCTTTTTATTCCTACCCTCCCTCTCCTTTCTTTACATTCTGTGTCAAATGAATGAATTTATTATGAAGGTAGTAGGAGTTGTGGGAAATCAATGTAATACTTGTTCCTAAGTAAAAGAGGGTCTTTTTTGAAAAAGCTTTCGTCTTGTTCTGAGTTTTTTAAATAGGGGTTCCTTTAAATTTCTTTTTTGTTATAGCAAAACTATAAATATAATTAGAGGGCTGGTCGTAAGAATTGTGTTTCTTAGTCTGACAATTCCTTATTTATTAAACCACAAAGTTTTTTAGACGTCTAACTTGTTTCAGAATTGATGTTCTCAGCTCTTGAATACTAATTCTCTTTGAGCAAAAGATAAGTAATCAGAATTTAATCGTTTCTCGTGTCGCTTGGCTATTATAATGCCTCTCCTTCATCACTTTCCCTACACATCACCCATTCCTATACTTATCAGAGGTCAAGAAAAAGGGGGCGATATACCTCATTCTTTCTGGACCTTTTAATAGCCATTCCTTAGTGCTTAACTTGGTCTGATGGGGGTAGGGATGTGGAAATACCTTTCTATACTAATTTCTGGAGAATGAATTTTAGACACGTAGCAAGAGATAAAGAATACTTCTTAGAATATCTTAGGATATATTAATTGACCTTCTTCTTTTTAAAAACCATTTTATTGTTAACAGTTACAACTCCTTGTGATATGGAGTGAGGCATAACCATTAAAGGATAGAAGATTTAAATGGTCAGCGAGCAATGGAAAAGACTAGATGACAAGGATGTAGAAAGTTTTAAGAGATTAGGTGCTTAATCTTGTCAAATTGCTACTGAGCAATTAGTCCAAATAGCTAATACTAGCATAAAAATGTGTTTTCAAGATGTCTATAGAGAAAGGTAAGTCAGTTGAAGAAATTGTAAATAAACATCTAAGGAAAGATTTAGCTGTAGAAGAAAATCAAGACTTATGGGCACATTAAGAGGCAAAATAAAAGAAAAATAAAAAAATTAAGGTAAAAAGTCTTCAGTTTGGCTGTTATTATTGTTGATGATAACATATCAGTGGTATAAGACTGATACCTCATTGGATGAAAGTCTTTGGGTGTTTTTTTTTTTTTCTTAAATGGTGACATAGACTCAGATGATCAAACTTTTTGGGTCAAGTTTTAGAGACGCACAGATCAATGAATGATTATTACCAAAGACACATTTCAGTTGATGAGGATTTATAAAATTTAGCTGGAGGCCAAGATGAAAATTTCATCAAAGGTGTTATTTATCTAGATGGAATTGAAATGAAAACTACTGACTGTGAGATGATCAAGATCAAACAAAAGACCAGGCAAATTTGTACCTACTAGTTCCCCTGGTATTATTCTTTCCAAATAAAGTATTCAAGTCATTAATGAAGGGGGGAGGAACTAGACAAACATTTTATTGTAATTCAGTTGTAATTTTGCAGAGCACATTACTTTTCTGTTTTAATGTGTATACTTCTTTTCCTGACATTAGTTGCAGTCCCTTCGATGTAACAACTTTATTCCTCTTTCCTTCCTTGATATGCCATTTTCATTTGTCCCTCTTTCTTTCTTTCATTCTGAGCTTTGTATTGGGGCATACACTGCCCTTTTGGTTTCAAATAGTTAATTGGTCTGGCTTGGATAAATGAGCATTGGAGGGGGTGCTACTAGGCCATGGGCTCCTAGCAAGCAAGCTAGTTGGAAAGGTGAAAAGTACTCATCTGTGGAATCCCAGTGGTGGTGAGAGGCTTGCATTGCCAGTCTCTGAGTCCTCATTGCAAGGAACTGAGCCAGGAGTGTGTACCAGTACAGTTTGTGAGTTCTCATTATAAGTACCGGATATGCATCAGTCCCTGACTCACTGATTCTGGAGAAGAGTTGGTAATGGATCCCAGTGGACCTTAATAGTTTAGATTTGGGAGGATGGCTAGAGGCAATGTATGTCGACAGGCCTCTGACTTGGGAAGGCTGGAGGAATGGTGCAGTGAGTTGATCCGAGTACTCTTTCACAGAGTGGGAGACACTCTTCTTGGCATTGGATATGGATGCAGAGTTGTTCCTATTTATATGGCGCCTCAGCTAGGAATAGTGCTTGCTTTACCTCAGTATGCTTGTCTTGTCCAGTTTTGTCAGAAGAGGCCAGCACCCTGTACTTTTCAATGTCTGCTGTGTTTATATAGTCTTTCCTTCTAGTTGACACTTGATCTGATTCTTCAGCCTTGCCTTTGATGCTTAGGCTTCTAAATTGCAATCTGTTAATTAATTCAGGCTTCTGTTGTATGACACTATGAGCCTTCTGACTATGTTGCAATCTTGGACAATCTTTTATTTTTTAAATTGTGTGTGTGTGTGTGTGTGTGTGTGTGTGTGTTGTACCATCATATCAGATCTGACTGCTACAGGAGGAAGTTGCCCCTCCTTCTCCAGCAAAGCATCTGGTGGATTCGAACTGCGTACCTCTGGGATTGCAGTGCAGCTTCTTGCCACTAGGCCACCAGAGTTCCCTGGACAATCTCTATTTAAATTTTATAGTTGGTTGTAGTGATAACGTTAAAAAAAATCCATTGCTTGATATTTTAGTTACTTATGGAGTTCATTACTTGAAATTTAGAGTGAATTGTACCATTCTTCCAGAAACACTTAAAATTAGAATCTTGTAATAATTTTTTGTTAGAACTATCAGTGATTAATATGAACAAACCTTACTGCTAGTTTTTGTAATTGGTAAAAATTTTTACAGTAGCATTTTCTCTTTACAGAATTTTATTCCTGTAGTTTTTGTGTTACATTACAAAGTATAATACAGATCTACTTAATAATCTTTCTGTTTTTTACACACAGATAGAATTAATTGACAGAGTTGATGACATCTATCGAAATACTTCATGGGACAATGCGGGTTTTAAAGGCTATGGAATACAAATAGAACAGGTATTTATCAATGGAAATGGCTGGTACTATTGAGGTAAACTACAAGTACTTGCTACTTGTAATCAAAACCAAAGGACTTTAATGTTCATCAGTAAATAAATAACTCTTAAATGCCAGTGATTTTACTCATAATGATCCACAGTGTTTTGATTAGTTATTTTAGATTATGAAATTTTCTATTCATTAGCGTATTTTAGGCACACATCCTTATTGTCCTGCTATAATCTCTAATCTCTAAATTTATGATCCTGTATTACTTTTCTTTACCCTGTATTTTACTTTCCTCTCTGATTATGCTTTATATGTTTTTAATTAAATTATAGGCATCTATCTTCAAAAGCACCTCATACATACTGTTGAATCCTTAGAAAATTTTGTCAGACGCACTGTGTGCATTTGTTGTTGTTGGTTTGTTTTTTTTCTTGTTGCATACCATTGAATCGGATCAAGCTGGCACAAGACGAGATTGTCCCTCCTTTTCTAGTGGAGCATCTGATGGATTCAAACCGTGCCCCTTCGAGATTGCAGTGCAGCTTCTGCTTCTGGGCTACCAGAGCTCCCTCACTCTGTGCATTTGTAAAGCATTTATTTATACAGAACCCTTAGTCTCTTTCTCCTAATATTTACTTCGAATTGCTATATTAATGTTACCTTAATTATCTCAGCAAGTTCATAAGACTAAAGACTCTTCAAGGGAATTGCCTTGGGTATATTTTTATATGTAAATTATATAAATTATTATGGTTTATTTGAAATTACACTTTTCCATTTCTTTATTACTTTTGCATTTTTTTTGTATTCATATTTTAAATAGGTAATATCAACAACAACAATAATATATACACAGTGCAAAAACTACTGAAGAGTAAGTCTCCTTAGCTGCTTCTGTCCATTGTCCAACCCAGTTTTTTTCCCCAGGAGCATCATGTTACTGGTTTGATATGTATTGTTCTGAAGATATTTTAGACAGGTGTAATGTTAGTATGGACATGTATTTGGCACAGTGGTAGTATGTTGTGCACTTTTACTTGTTTTCAATTCACGGAAATTGGAAGATAATCTCTATTAGCACATATAAAACGCTGCCTCACTTTAAAAAATCACTACATCATATTCATGTTTTAAGTGACCAATAAATAAAACAACTTTAAGAACTTGGAACAAATTGAAAGGCAAGTAATACAGAAGATTAAAATACCACTTCATAATTAGTAATAAAAGATGGATTGGTGGATGTGATTTACATGTGCAGCCATTGAGTTTCTAAGTATTTTGTCCACAATATATCTTTACCATTTGCCAATGCAGCTGCAAAGCCTGCCTCTTCAAAGAGCTGACCAAAAATGCATTTTCTATGCAGGCATTTAGGTAGCCAGGCAGATCAAGGGAGGGCCTAGGGAGACACTCAGAGATGCCTGAAGTGAGCACTCTTTATTCCTTTTCCTAAGCTCATTATTTGATATGTTCCATTACCTCTGTAAAAAGGAGCAAGAGCAGCATGGGGTCCATCATATCTGACCTCTATCAACTCCACAAGGGGAACTGTACCTGTCAACAACACCACAAAATCAATTTCCATGAGGTCAGATGTGTCTCCCATAGTCCCACACCTCTTTCTACTAATTTCAGCACCAGTCTTACTACTCTGCTGGATCCAAAATCATTATGATAGTTCAGAGACCATACAGAACTGTATTAAGGAAGCAAAAGGTTATAATTCAGGTTGGCAGCAAGACAAAGGACAACTTCTGAAATGTGCTTGCAAGCACCTCAGCCTGAGCCTGTGACTTTAGGCCAGTGTTATAAAATTCTCAGTCCTGCCAATTATGGCTCTTCCTCTCAGTCTTTGAACAAACTTAGGCAAAGTCTCTCAGCTCTGGTTCCTTGGGGTAGCAATCTCAAGGTCAGCTCCATCTCAGGTCAGGTCTCTGTTATCTTCTCTGGTTGCTGCTACTCTCCTGTAGGTTTAGCTAGCAAAAGAATCTCTGGCCCTGGAGGGCACACATTACATGCATGCTGCCACTTTGTAGATGATGAGATTACCAAATCTGCTGCTGAATCTGCTCAGTTTATTGACAAGACTGGACAGTCCTCTTGTGGGTAGACTAACATGCCCTATTCACATATTCCTGCCTATCCCCATAGCAAAGTTAGTGGCTAGGTAGGGAAGCTGTTTTGAACAATAAACCCCGAACACCACAACCTCCTTTGAAAAGAAGCCTGTGTTATTTTTCTTTCCTTTCTTAACAGGTTTAATGTGAACTTGTCAGAATTACATGTTTAGGAAAAGCCACCATTCTGTATAATCTTTCATTCCTGAATTGGACAACTGATATACATCTGACAATTATAGATGTCTTAATCATTGGCTATCATTGGATATTTTAGACTCGTATGATCCAAGGCTTTTTTCTATGAAAATTTAGGAATACATTTAGAACTTTATAAATCATTCATTTACATAATTTTTTTCCTATGTCATGTTTTTTTCTCTATTTACTCTTAAATAATGATTTTTTTTTTTTAAATTTTTTTATGTGTGTACCATCAAATTGGATCTGACTGGTACAGGAGGAAATTGCACCTCCTTCTCCAGCAGCGCATCTGGTGGATTCAAACCACTTACCTCTGGGATTGCAGTGCAGCTTCTTGCCACTAGGCCACCAGAGCTCTCCTAAATAATGAATATTTTATTACTATTGAAGAATTTATGGAATCTTGGTAATAAAATTTTTTTCTAGTATGATGGCCAAACCATCATACTCACTGTCATTGAATCAGTTCTAGCTCCTAGTGACTTTTTAGGATGAGTAGAACTGCCTGTGAGGTTTCCAAGGCTGTAAACATTTATGGAAGCAGACTGTCATTTATTTCTTCTGTGGAGAAGCTGGTTCAGGTTGCCAACTTTGTGGTTAACCACTGCATGCTTGACCATTACATCACCAAGGGTCATCTCTAGTTCTTATATTTGGTAGATAATAAAATACTATTTTAGACTTTTAGTAACTTTTTCTGACATGTTTTAAGTATATTATCTCTTTAAGTATAGATTCGCATTCTTAAGACTCCAGAGAAAGTAAGACCTGGTGAAAGGCACTTTAATATGGAAAAAAGCTTTCCAAATGAAGAAAAGGATGCTTGGGATGTAAAAACTTTGCTTGAGGTAAGTCATGGGATCTTAGGTGTATTGCTGTTCACAGAGATTAGTTACCACTTCTTGATTTCTAATATATGAACTTTATCTGCATTAATGAAGAAATATATTAGAAAAGATAATGAGACACTAGGAACACAGCACCACATTTGATCCAACAGTGACTTCCTCTTCCCTGGAGCAGGGCAAAACAGCAAGACAAGCGAAAAGCAAAATTAAACAAAAATCCCAAACCATGGGAGATGAAAGTTTTGAAACCTGATATTTCTTATCCTTAATATTTTAGAGACTCTGGTAAGGTAATTTTAGAAATAGCATGTATACTATATGTCAATATTTTGCATACCATTTTCTTAATTCAGGTCTACCTGAAACTTTATCAGTGGACTTTTAGGGACTGTAATTATCAAATAGGAGATGAAAATATAATGGATAGTAGAAATGTAACTGGGAATTCTGAAATTCCCTATAGGAACTGAAAATTTTGTGGTTTTATGTTAATATGTGATAATATAGTTAATAAGAGTTAACGTAAACTTGGTTTTATATGGATTTTTGCTTTATAACATGATTTTAGTGTCTAACTTTTTGCCCATTATTGTGTTTTGTTTTGGTTTTTTT